GTGGCTGCCTGAGGGTGATGTCATCAAGGGGACTGAGGGTGATGTCATCAAGGGGACTGAGGGTTATGTCATCAAGAGGATGGATGAGAAAATAAAACCTGTGATATCTTTCAAACTACAGGGACTATGCTATTACAGCTCTGCAAACGCACATATATGATTGTACAGTTGCAAAAGGAAATGTACTAATAATATTTATGTGCAAAGCTGGAGAACCAATTCACCTTCCATATGGCTCTTGTGTGGCTGAGAGTGATGAGAATTGTGATTCATCGACTTCTAGAGCACAGTACTTGCTATTGTAGTGTACATTGTGACCTTTTAAGTAGCCTGTAAGCGGTCAGAGCTTTTTCCATAGATTCTCTGCCAGATACGTGTTACGGTGTAATTAGCTTCTCTGCCAAGAATTACAGTCTGCAGTGCCGAACTTTCCCCCTAGGGGGCACACTGGTAGGTCCTCTGCAAGCTGTCTTGGAGCTCATAACTGTTTCTGATCCTCGCACATACACAAAAAGTACAAAACAAATCCAGTGAAAGGTAATTATACAAAGATGGGACAAATAACGAAGGACATCCAGCGATCTAAAACATACAATATCATTAAAGTACACGAAATAACGTCTTATTGATGTCGAGGTAAAAACTAGCACTGTTATAATCTTCTAATTAGTGCTAAGAAATAGTGACCAAACAATGCTGGCAAACTAGCATTCTATACAAATGGACAGATATTTTTATTATTTATACAAAAATTGGTATATTATTCCCTGAGCGAAATTCAGCAGGGAATCAGTGGCAAAGGATCACAGACAGAGAGATAATAATTAGACATATCTGGACAAATAAAAGGAGCTTAGCATTTTTGGCATATTTAAACACTTTTAGAGGCCAGTTTACTCGTTTCCCTTTAATTGCCCTTTAAAGAAAGTCGGGAGTACACAAGACCATTTCAAACAAGATTAAATAAAAGGGCAGCTTGAAAATGAGGCCCAGGTTTCACGAGATACTTTTGCACGTAATTTCCCATCTGCAGGCATGTTCTCATACTGCCACCTTTATATACACAGGCTTGTATACACACAGAAGCACACACAGGTAGACCTGCGCACAAATGGCCTCTGTTCTCTTGACAAGTCTCTGTTGTGTCTTTTACAGGATTAGCCGTGACCTCCTGTGTCCCCTGCTGCCTCCTCACCCCTCAGCTCTTCACTGTAGAACTGGAAATCCTTTGGACAGAAGCTGAGTTTCTGCTACATTCCAAGCCCAGGGAAAATAAACTCAGGCTAAGATGTTTACACACTCCCCGCATTCCTACCCAGTCAGTAACTACACTTTCCTCCACCCCAGGGCTGCCGACAGAACATGTGCTTTTGGACACAAAACGGTCCCTTGACAGATTCATTCCACGGTCATATCATGGCAGGAAAGCACTTAGCTATATGATGTCGATATTAGTATTTTAGACATTAAACCATGGGCCTTGGTGAGGCCTTCTGAATTCTGTGGCCTTATCTGTAGGTGGCATCTTGATTGTCCCGCGTGCTGTGGCCCTTCCTATACATGGCATGTATGTAGGCCTTCTGCAAGTAGAACTTTGCTTATAGTTGACATGTTCTACAAACTGTTCGTCCGTTCCCTGCCAGTCAATGGCCCTTGGATCTCACTCTGAAGGTGGTAGTCACAGCCAACCTTATATTTAGGTATGTTTACAAATTCAGCATGCCACCTGCTGGGTATGTATTCAAGAGAATACATACCCAGCGACGAGCCACAGATGGTTCCAGTAGGACATGATGAAACTATGGAATTTGTTTAATGTCCTATGGTCATAAGCACAAGCTAGCTACTAAATCATTAATACTGGAAAATGGTAAAGTGTATACAGAGCAATCAGGAGCCAGTAACCTCCCAACTAATGTTTACTTGTATTGTAGAAGCCATATGTTACTTACTAACGCAGGGAGTCTTCATGGCATTGCCAAATGTGCCCCGCGGAGCAGGGTACGCCTTATAACTTCTAATAAAACTGCTAAAACAGCATTGATTTTACTGATTGTCTTTTATTCATAACATCATTCATGTTTAGTTTACCATGAAGTCTACACACTAAACGCTGAATCTGGTGTAGAAAATATGGTCTTGCATTTTCTCTATTCACATTGAGCCAAGTGGGTTCCTGATATTTCCAAATGGATCTCACTGTGCTACACTGATATGTGTTTGAAAATAGCTCAGACAAACTGCAATCTAACAGTAACGGTATCCAATTGCCCACCCGCATGAAAAACACCTGAAAACACAACTAAGGTAAGAATTGGATTTTGGGTTACGGTATTGTTACAAGATTACGGTAGATTTGAGTAGCTTTTAGGGGAGCTTAGAATTATGGGTGCAGATCCTCTGGGCCCTTTCAGAGGAATTGGATCAAATTGTGCTAATTTGGTTGTTTGTGAATAACGTAAAGAAATACTCTGTACACCATAACAACTTCATCAGAATTAAGTTGTGATGGATCCAGGAGGTTCCTGGAGCTGGCTTACTTTCATGGGTTACACCATTAACAAACTGTTCCGGTTTAACCCCAAAGTCTTCAGTTTAGTGCCGGTCAGCTTTCCAACCAAACTTACGTTTGAGTCTGAGGCTTCAATTTGGAAGCTTTGGACAGGGGTGCCGCTAACGCTGTCAGCCTATCAGGAATTCCCACTCACAAAACAGAGTGAAAAGGGCATGTATGTTTTTCACCCCATTTTGTGTTACGCGCTCAGCCTTTTAGCGGCTCCCTGTCCAAAGCTTCCTAATTGGAGCCTCAGAATCAAATGGAAGTTAGAGGGGAAAGTTGACCAGCGACGGAATGAAGACTTCCTGGCACTATAAGTACTTTATTCCACTGAAGTTGTTTTGGTGCCTGGAGCATATCTTTAATTAGGAAAGTTATACAGATATTCAGCTGATTTTCTCGTCTACCAACATGGAAATTCAAATACGACTGAAGTCCAGAAGAATGCCTAATTGTGACACACCATTTAAAAACCAGATATCTGAGAAAAATTTACTGTGAGTCTCCGGCAAATTTGTTGTAACATTGGTTACCTTACACATCGCACACAGGAAAGGAAAGGTGAAACTGTTTCTGTCTGAATGAACACTTTAACTACATACGTTAATTTGCTGCCTCTACAACCTCGTGTCCGTTATGTTTCCAACTCAATTACTTAGGCCAAAAATTTAAAAATTCACTTTGAATTTCAGCAGTTCACATTTTAGTGAATAAACTGGAAAGTAAATTTCAAATCTTAGGCCGTCATGGCCAAACTTAAAATTGGAGGTGACGTGGAAAGCTATTCCATTTTGGCTTAGAATTCAAAATTTTCTTTGAAATCCCAACAATTCAGATTTTAATAAATAAATCTGCTGCATGTCCAGTAAGCCGCTTACACGGGCATTATGGTTAAGTCCTGCTTGCCAATATTGATACATCTTTAACAGGGCAGACCCAGTAATGTCATGTGCCAGCTGTGGTCTCACCGTTTATTACAGCAACCTGGCAAGTTCAGGCCCTCTGGCTAGACATTGGATACACTCTCAAAACCTTCCAAACCATTGTGGTACACATGGCCATTTGGTGATCACTTGGTTATTCTATTTGCCCTGTAAATATGCCGGTTTAACACAGAATGAGTTTAAATACATGATATATATTTTCTATAGGGGTTTTATTTTCGAGTCTCTTAATTGTAGTAAATTGAAAACTGTATGGCAAAAATGTAGGCTAAAATAGGTGAGCTGTAACTGTAAAGGAGTTAGATTATTTTTCCAGTACAACTATTGCTGCTGATGTGTTTCAGTTCGCTAGAATTTGGAGTTTAGAGACACCTAGGGCATTATCCACTAAACAACTGCTAATCTGACCGCTCTCACAGTCATAACGTAGACGCACTCAGTTGTGTATGAAAACACTCAGAGCCAATGAATTCCATCCAAAGAAGCGTAGAATATGTTAGCAGGAAGTTCCACATTATTAATATCTGATGAGTGGTAGGGGAGCCAGGTAAGTGACAAATAGTAGAGAACTCCTGGCACCATAACTACTAAAGATTGCTAGAGTGGTTATGGCGCTTAGGCTGAAATTTTGTTTTGCTGCATTAAGTGTGTAGAAATATGAGAACACTGTGAAGCTATTTTCACACTTTCTTTTCCTATAGTATGTATAGGAAGCTCCTAGCGGAAGCTTAACTATAATAGCTCCTATAGCAGGGATAGGCAATCTTCGGCACAGCAGATGTTTTGGACTACACCTCCCATGATGCTTTGCCAGCATTATGTCTGTAAGAGCATTGTGGGAGATGTAGTCCACAGCATCTGGAGTGCCGAAGGTTGCCTACCCCTGCCCTATAGTATCACATGAAAAGAAAAACACAGCCATCCAAAATAAAAGAACTCTGTGGGTGCACTTACTGACATAGAATGAGCACCCACACAAAACCTGCCAAATGTGGCAATCAATGAGAGGCATTAAAGGGATCATTCTATAAACCCTTTAAATTGGAGGCTCTTTCTCAGAAGAGGGTTGGATTCAGTTTCAGATCCCAGAGCTACCCCTGGAATGGCCTAAAGGTAGACCCCCAGCTTTAAAAAAAAAAAAAAAAAACTACAAGTCCCGTGATGCTTTGCGAGCCTGGTAGAGTATCATGGGAGATGTAGTTCTACACCAGCTGGGGGAATGTACGTTTATCCAGCCGTGGGTTCTAACACTGTATTAACCAATCATTGATCCCGGCTCCCTTCCAGTATCATTACCCTCCCACAGGTTATATAAAGCTGTGGGTAACTAGGGGTGTACCAAGATGGCGGGGCCGGATATCCGGTTAGCCTTGCAGAGTAAACCTGCTAGCTTTTATTGTAACTAAGCCAATAAACCCTGGTAACCTTAAACCTGCTGAAAGGATAATTCACTCTGTGAGATCATATCTAGCGACTGCAAGAGGTTTGTGCCGGCCTATAAAGCTCAGAGGGTGTACCAATATGGCCGCCGCCGCCTCCTGCTGTCTACTTCCGGTTGCCCTTTCCCCTCTGACCCCGCTGTTAACCTTGAGCTGTCTGAGCGGCTTGCTGGAGCAGGATGGTGAGTGGAGGCTGTCATGGGGGGGGAGAGAGCACAGGGGGTCTGATCTCAGGGGTATTCACATTGTGCTGCTGTATGGGGGTATTCACATTGTGCTGCGGTATGGGGGTATTCACATTGTGCTGCGGTATGGGGTATTCACATTGTGCTGCGGTATGGGGTATTCACATTGTGCTGCGGTATGGGGGTATTCACACTGTGCTGCCCTGCTGTATGGGGTATTCACATTGTGCTGCCCTGCGGTATGGGGGTATTCACATTGTGCTGCCCTGCGGTATGGGGGTATTCACATTGTGCTGCCCTGCGGTATGGGGGTATTCACATTGTGCTGCCCTGCGGTATGGGGGTATTCACATTGTGCTGCCCTGCGGTATGGGGGTATTCACATTGTGCTGCCCTGCGGTATGGGGGTATTCACATTGTGCTGGCCTGCGGTATGGGGGTATTCACACTGTGCTGCCCTGCTGTATGGGGGTATTCACATTGTGCTGCGGTATGGGGGTATTCACACTGTGCTGCCCTGCTGTATGGGGGTATTCACACTGTGCTGCCCTGCTGTATGGGGGATTCACATTGTTAACGCGGTATGGGGTATTCACACCGTGCTGCCCTGCTGGCCCATGGGAATTATTCATTGTGCTGCCCTGGGGTATGGGGGTATTCACATTGTGCTGCCCTGCGGTATGGGGGTATTCACATTGTGCTGCCCTGCGGTATGGGGGTATTCACATTGTGCTGCCCTGCGGTATGGGGGTATTCACATTGTGCTGCCCTGCGGTATGGGGGTATTCACATTGTGCTGGCCTGCGGTATGGGGGTATTCACACTGTGCTGCCCTGCTGTATGGGGGTATTCACATTGTGCTGCGGTATGGGGGTATTCACATTGTGCTGCCCTGCTGTATGGGGGTATTCACACTGTGCTGCCCTGCGGTATGGGGTATTCACACTGTGCTGCCCTGCGGTATGGGGGTATTCACATTGTGCTGTCCTGCGGTATGGGGGTATTCACATTGTGCTGTCCTCGCGGTATGGGGTATTCACACTTTAACTTGCCCGCAACTGTATGGAGTATTCACACTGTGCTGCCCTGCGGTATGGGGGTATTCATTGTGCTGTCCTGCGGTATGGGGGTATTCACATTGTGCTGCCCTGTATGGGGTATTCATTATTGCTGTCCTGCGGTATGGGGGTATTCACATTGTGCTGCCCTGCGGTATGGGGAATTATTCACATTGTGCTGCCCTGCTGATATGGGGGTATTCATTGCTGTCCTGGGTATGGGGGGTGATGCATTTATTGCTGTCCTCGCGGTAATGGGGGGTATTCACATTGGGTATTCACATTGTGCTGCCCTGCTGTATGGGGTATTCACATTGTGCTGCGGTATGGGGGTATTCACATTGTGCTGCGGTATGGGGGTATTCACATTGTGCTGCCCTGCGGTATGGGGGTATTCACACTGTGCTGCCCTGCTGTATGGGGTATTCACACTGTGCTGCCCTGCTGTATGGGGTATTCACACTGTGCTGCCCTGCTGTATGGGGTATTCACACTGTGCTGCCCTGCTGTATGGGGTATTCACACCGTGCTGCCCTGCTGTATGGGGTATTCACATTGTGCTGCTGCATGGGGGTATCTACATTGTGCTGTCCTGGGCGGTATGGGGTATTCAAGACAGTTGTTGTATGGGGTATTCACACTGTGCTGCCCTGCTGTATGGGGGTATTCACACTGTGCTGCCCTGCTGTATGGGGTATTCACACTGTGCTGCCCTGCGGTATGGGGGTATTCACATTGTGCTGCCCTGCTGTATGGGGGTATTCACATTGTGCTGCCCTGCTGTATGGGGGTATTCACATTGTGCTGCCCTGCTGTATGGGGGTATTCACATTGTGCTGTCCTGCGGTATGGGGTATTCACATTGTGCTGCTGTATGGGGGTATTCACATTGTGCTGCTGTATGGGGGTATTCACATTGTGCTGCTGTATGGGGGTATTCACATTGTGCTGCTGTATGGGGGTATTCACATTGTGCTGCTGTATGGGGGTATTCACATTGTGCTGCCCTGCTGTATGGGGGTATTCACATTGTGCTGCCCTGCTGTATGGGGGTATTCACATTGTGCTGCGGTATGGGGTATTCACATTGTGCTGCGGTATGGGGTATTCACATTGTGCTACGGTATGGGGTATTCACATTGTGCTACGGTATGGGGTATTCACATTGTGCTGCCCTGCGGTATGGGGTATTCACATTGTGCTGCGGTATGGGGGTATTCACATTGTGCTGCCCTGCGGTATGGGGGTATTCACATTGTGCTGCCCTGCGGTATGGGGGTATTCACATTGTGCTGCCCTGCGGTATGGGGGTATTCACATTGTGCTGTCCTGCGGTATGGGGGTATTCACATTGTGCTGCCCTGCGGTATGGGGGTATTCACATTGTGCTGCCCTGCGGTATGGGGGTATTCACATTGTGCTGCCCTGCGGTATGCGGGTATTCACATTGTGCTGCCCTGCGGTATGGGGTATTCACATTGTGCTGCCCTGCGGTATGGGGGTATTCAGACGCCTCAGCAGGGATATCTGTCCATTTATGAAGGTGGAATCACAAAAGAACAGTATTGATTTGTTATTGTTACCCCCAATTGCTTCTTATGAATTTACATACCAGGGCAGCACGTTTCACTTAGTGTCCAGCAGAATGAATAAGCAATGTGTAGAGCGGAAACCATGGTAGACGTTCACCTTTTGTGTTTACCTGTGTCCATCATGTGATATGTTTTATAATGATTTGGTAAAACTTTATGTATTTCAGTGTTACAAATACAGTACTCCTATACTGCTAATAACAATAATACTTAAAAAAGAGTCCACTATATAAAGGTCAATACACTTCTAATGGGACAGAGGTTTATTGAATAACTGTTTTCCTCTTCACACAGTTTCACCCTATTTCATCATATGTTAAGGATTGCCAACCTCTTGCATTGCATGTTTTGTATGATTAATTTCTCGTGATGTCCAGCCAGCGTTATGGCAAACAGAGAATTGTAAACATATATTTTTTTACACTTCAATTGCAAAAGGTTTGCCATGTTTGTTTCATCAATCTCTGTAATAATTCTTTGAGTATAATGCACGTCATTCATAGGCGGCTGTGTGTTGCCACATACCTGTTTTGCCAGTAGTGACACTGGGTAATCATTTTATTCGGTAACCATTAAAATGGCATTTCTGTTTGTGTAATAAGGGAATAGGTGGATCTGGCATTTTACATCTTTTTTCGATTTTTCTCTCCATAGGCCAAGTACTTGGCACAGATCCTGGTAATGGGAGCGCAAGTTGTTGGCAGAGCATTTACACGGGCATTGCGTCAAGAGTTAGCTGGTAAGTACCCTTCCTAAGAAGATAAAACATACATTCTTTATAAACTATATAGTATTCTATATTTCTATTTATTAAAAATGTCACTTTGAATAGACCGATGAGAAAGTATCATCACTTTAATACTTAATTTTTCAGCAGAAGTGACATTGACGTGGCATTTTATCAGCTCTGGAGGGTTAACAGTGACACAACATACAAATACTATGATTGTATTATGCGGAGGGTGAAACCTCTTCACATTATATCCCAAGTTGATGAAAGCTAAGGTTGCCAATCCACCTGTTGACTTTAAAACAGTTTGACAAAAAAAACAAGGGATTGCATGAACAGCCTCCTATAACCACTACTATAATGGATATGGTACTTAACTTACTAACTGAAACCTAAATTACACAGTGCACCTAACGTGTGGGAGCCTAGAGTGTCACTTTTAAAGAAACACTATGGGGTCAGGAACACAAGCATGTATTCCTGACCCTGGAGTGTTAAAAACACAATCTGGCCTCTTTTTGCCCCCTAAACATAGCAAAATATTACCTTTATTCCACTCTGTTGCTGCTGGGTCTGCCCCTGTTCTGCCTGCTTGGCTGACATCATCAAAAGTGTTTAATAAAGCCAATCACAATGCTTTCACATAGGAAAGCACTGGATTGGCCAAGATTATCAGGGCAGAGCCAGCACAAGTCAAACACAGCCCTGGCCAATCAGCATCTCCTCATGAAAATGTATTGAATCAATTAATTTAGGAAAGTTCACTGTCTATATGCAGAGGGTGGAGACACTGAATGGCAGTCACACTGTGCAGCACTGCCCCAGGAAGCACCTTTAGCAGCCATCTGAGGAGTGGCCAGTGAAGTTATCACTAGGCTGTAATGTAAACACTGCATTTTCTCTGAAAAGACAGTGTTTACAGCAAAAAGCCTAAAGGTAATGATTCTACTCACCAGAACAAATGCAATAGGCTGTAGTTGTTAAAGAGACTATATTGTCTCTTTAATGGGTTTTAATAATTTCGCTTTGTTGGTTTTTGTCTGACCCCTAGCACCAGGATTGGCTGGCCCAATTGTTTCCAATCCATTTCTCCTTATTTTCTCTATCAGCGAGTAGAGCAGCAGCTCAAGCAAGAGGCGGTCGAGCTGGTACAGAGTCTGCAGCTGCCAGCAGCCTGTCTGGGATTAGCCTCCAGGAAGCCCAACAGATCCTCAACATCTCCAAACTGAATCCCGAGGAGATCCAGAAGGTAAAATGTCACAAAGAAACAAGACCTTTATTGCTTCAAACTAAACTAATGCAAAATGTCCTGAAACTCGTTCATATATTTGGTGATGTGACTTGTTCTATAATGAGCAATAGAGGACATTACTATGTCTGTGTGCAGATCTGTTTCACTGCTCTATAACTAGAGTGAACGTAGGCTTTCCGGGTCACCCACATTTTACTGGACAGTTAACGTGTGTGTGTGTGTGCTCTGTTGGTCAGTACAGGAAAAGTGCTGGCAGCAAGTTGGTGAATATCATATGATGCCAGAAGGAAATTATTTCATCACGAGATGAACCTGCTGACACCAGCCGAACACATTGATTGATTTCTACCAGCAGCGTATCAATTTACTTCTGGGCAGCACTATTTGTGTATCATCCAACAGCATTATTCATTCTGTTCTATACTGACAGACCTAATGTCCTCCCCCCTGGCCCCCACCCCTGAGCGGTGGGTGGAGGCCCTAAAGTAAAATAATGGGGTGGGGGAGACCTATTGTCCTCCCCGTCGGCCCCCACCCCTGAGTGGCGGGTGGGGGCTCTAAATCAGAATAAGGGGGGGACCTATTGTCCTCCCTCCTGGCCTCCACCCCTGAGCGGTGGGTGGGGGCCCTAAATCAGAATAGGTGGGGGGGACCTATTGTCCTGGTCCCCACCTCTGAGCGGTGGGTGGGGGCCCTAAATACTAATAAGGGGTGGGGACCTAATGTCCTCCCCCCTGGCTGCCACCTCTGAATGATGAGTGGGGGCCCTAAATACTAATAAGGGGGGAACCTAATGTTCTTCACCGTCCCCCTCCCCCCACCAATCAGTGTGTTATTAGTCAAATTACACAGCGTGGGAAAATTCCAAAGAACTTTCCCACGCTGTGTAAAATGACACAGAGCACTCTGATTGGTGGATTTCAGAGCTCAGTCTGCGTGGAGCCCTCCGTGGGTGAAGATGGATTATTTATTTTATTTTTTTTTATACAGGTACTTAGTTAATGGCCCCCCTCATTATTTTTAGGGTGAGGGGGGGGTAGGTAGGTAGGTTAGTGTTTTTTTTTGTTTGTTTTTTTTTCTGGAGGGGGGTGACTAGGGGTTTGGGGACCCCTAGTTACCCGGGGGGGGGAGGGGGGGGGTAACATTTTTATTTAGGGCCCCCACCCGCCGCTCAGGGGTGGGGGCCAGGGGGGAGGACATTAGGTGTGTCCCCCTTATTCTAATTTAGAATAAGGGGGAGGATATTAGTTTTCCCCCCCACCCCCTGCTCAGGGGTGGAGGCAAGGGGGAGGACATTAGGGTCCCCCGCCTCCCTTATTTTACTGTAGGGGGGGGGGCTGCTCACTATTTAATAGACAAGCCCTGCTCACGTTATAACGAGTAGGGGCATAATTTACTAATACTAAGTAATCTTTACTTAGTATTAGTAAATTTGGCTGAAATACAAATTTAGGTCTTTTAGTAGATGGCTCCCTAATACTGTGGGAATTAGGGAGTTATCTACTTATTCATTCCTGTCATTATTTTATATTAATGTATGTTACTTTATTGTTATAAATATTTACAAATGCTTACAGCTGAATCCTGGCTATGTTTGTATATTTTTTATTTAAAATTGTATACAGTGTAACATTCTTCCACTGGGTAAGTATATTAGTTCTTAGGCAATACTGTGCTTCGGAACTTCGTCAATTCGGAAATTCTGTAATTTCGGGACTTCGGCAATTAATCTATTCGGAAGCACCCGAATGTCCAAATTGCCCAAAATTCGTCCCAATTAACATTCGGACCAAAACGAATTGCACGTGCCTATTTTTTTTATAAACTGCAATAATTAGCTTTGTGGGGTAACTTGTCTTTAGGTGACTTTTGGTCATGCATAAGGACATCTAGCATCGCCGGAATCCTAATGCGAGCGCAAGGCGGAGGAGGGCCAGTGAAATGACAGAATTTTTTTTTTTTTTTTTTAACACTTCCGGCACTGTGTCACACCTCCCTGAAAGTGACCTACACAGCTTTCCTAAACACTCTGTGAAGAGAGATCTAATGTTTAAACTTTCCTTATTGCATAGTCTGTTTTATTTAGAATGTTTTGTCTCCTGCACTGTTGATGGCATGCTAGACCCTGCATGAGCCTACTGTGTGTGATTAAAGTTTAATTTAAAGAGTAGGAGATCAAATCTTCTAAAGCAAGTTAACATCTGATTGAAAATGAGACCATTAAAGGACCAATATAGGCACCCAGACCACTTCAGCTCAATGAAGTGGTCTGGGTGCCAGGTCCCTCTAGTTTTAACCCTGCAGCTGTAAACATAGCAGTTTCAGAGAAAAATCACAGTGGGAAGACGCTGGACGTCCATAGGAAAGCATTGAGTAATTAAAAGGTGCTGCTACACTATCTAATAAGAATATCGAATAAGGCACAGTGTCACTTTAAACAATATCTGTCTGGGTTCACTACCTCACTTTTAGAATTTTGTGTCAAGTGGGATGATATTGGGAGTCCACACAAAATTATATATATGGATTCACTACTAAATAGCACAATTCAAATTAAGTTTGCACTGTCACTTTAAAGATTGGCACTCAAAGATAAAGAACTATATTATGTGGCTATATTATTATTTTAAGATGTAAAATGATGGTATTATTGATGTAATTAACTTATTTTCATTTATTTATCTCTCCAATCATATGAGCTAATATTAATGTATTCTTCCTGTTAAGAATATGTACTATTCTGTTGGACTGAACAATACATAGAAGTATAGTGTTCAAAAAGACTGTTTTTATCACATCAATTAAGAGACTCTCATGACAAAGGATTTTAAATTTGGTGGAACGCAAAGTGCGTTCCATGCACACAGAGTGCACATATGATGAGAATAGAGGTGCGCCGTCTCTCTAATGGAACGCACGATGCGTTCCATTTAAGCTGGAGATCGAAACCAGGAAGTACAATGCGTTCCAGCAATGCCGAGGTTCCATGTGACCTGAACCAGGAAGTGAAACGCAGACGGAGGAATGGAACGCAAGTTGCGTTCCACTTGAAAAAGGCCGCGAATTTGGATTACACACAGCATTTAAAGAACTGTATGGACTTACAAACAGTAATCTATCCAACTGAGGAAGCCACGTTAGGCGAAACGCGTTTTGGCAGTATTTTACTTATTTAACAGATTTTATTTACATTTTTTATTTTATCTGTATTCAATAAATTTTTTATTTTACATCGATCTGGATTCCCTGCTGTTTACCACTGGGAGGAATTTTCCATACTACAGACCGAATATCTAGACCATCCATAGAGGGATTTGGATCACTCTAAAAAGATCCTAAGGCCATCCACACCAGAGCCAGGTCCAATATTGGCTCTAGTTTTGGGAGTGTATTCTTGCATATGTAATTTCTTCATTGTAATTTAGTTATCTGCACTATTTGTATACCTCTCTGTCTCCACAGCATTGCTGAATTCGTTGATAAGAGAGGAAAGTATACTATTAGCTCCACCTATTGTGTTTGTATTGTAATGCTTTCATATGGGCTGTTTGAATGCGCGCGCGGCATGAGATGGTGATTGGTGCAACGTGGCATTTTGGAAAAGCATTGGATTGGCTGAGATCGTCAAGATTGATGATCTCCGCTATGGAGGCAGGGCCAGCTGGAAATGGAGAAAGGTGAGTAAAATACAGTTTAACTCCACAGAGAGGGGTGGTCTGAGCACCGTAACATTTATTCCAGCTTATAGTGACCCTTTTAAGCAAAAAATGTTTGATACCTATTGTGTCCCTTAACAACTTTCATCTTGCTTAACTTTGTTCTCTTCCCAAGTCATTTTTGAATTTTTGAATTTTTTTTTTTTTTAAAATTAAATGTATATTTTAATCAGTAAAAGTTTTTACAACATTTTTTCTTGATTTATTTTTTATTTTTTTTCTGTTTCAGAATTACGATCACCTTTTCAAAGTAAATGACAAGACAGCTGGAGGATCCTTCTACCTACAATCTAAGGTTTGTGATTTTCCAAGCTATATTCACCGAGCTGTGGCCACCTGTTACTAGTCCGTACTGATTGTAGACGGGCGATGGTTACTATGTATCAAGCACAGCTGGGCTGTTCTCGTTTCTTACATATTCTTTGTTTCCTGTGATTTAACTTCACCGATATCAAGATGCGCAACATCATCAAAACAACTCCCTGAGGGGGCGGAGCTAAGCAGCCCTCCGAGGTAGACGTACCTCCGGGAAAAATCCTGATAAAAGCGACTTTAACACTGCAGAAATCAAAGATACCGGAGCATACTCACCTCCGATAAGTGAACGGATGCCCTTTACTTTCCCCACGAACGCTAAAACCCGGCGCCGAGGCCCTCGGGCCTACCGCGTGGGAAGCCTTTACTGGATCGGAACGGGCTTAGAGGGTGACACAAACCTGGAATCCCACAGCCAAACCCCTCCAGGAGGCGAAATGGTGCATAAAACACAGAAACTGACCCAACCCACACCCAGGGAAGGTCAGGACATAGGCCAACTGCTAACCTCGAGGCCCAGAGGGGCAACATAGCCCAGCCTTGCAACAACAGCAGATCCACCTGCAGAGACGCCCTCCATGCCAGAGCCTCCGGCGATAGCAGATGGCAACGCACCGTCCACCAAACAGGACATACACCACTTATTAGTGCACATCCAGCAAATGTTCTCGGCTGAGCTCAAAACTGTACGAACAGAGGTACAGGCAGTCACTAACAGGGTCCAAGCGACAGAAGCTGATCTCACCGACCTGAAACAGGGCATGGCCGCCATCAATCAAGCCGTGCAACAACTCCAAACAGCACAAGCTTAGCAAGGTGTCAAGATAGCTCAATTAGAGGACAGAGAGCGTAATTGAAACTTCAATATCCGCAGAGTGGTGGACTCCCTGTCACCTGAGGAACTTCCCCTCTTCGTCAGGTGCCTAGTCTCCACTGTCCTGCCCAGAAAAAATGCAAAGCAAATCAACTTTGACGGCATGTACCGCATAGCTAAGTCATCACAAGCTCCAGCTAACGCCACTCGGCACATTATTCTATGCTGCCAAACTCGGGCCGACAAACAAAAGCTCCTCAACGCAGTGAAGGGTAAGACCCCACTACAATTCGAGTCACAAACCCTTACATTCTTCCAGGACCTAAGCAGAGCCACATTATTGTGGCGCAAATCAATGCAGCCGATCACGAAAACCCTGCAAAGTGCTGGCCTCCCCTATAGGTGGTCTTTGCCCAGAGCTCTGGTGGTCACCCAAAATGGAAAGACTTTCAGAGCCCAGGATCCCACAGAGGGAACTGCTTTCCTCCAGGCGCTTGGACTACAGGCCCAGACAACGACACAAGCCAAACCTGGGACGTATCCAGAGTCAACCCATTTGTGCCCAGTGGTGCCAGTGACTCGGTGACCTGACTCTGCATGGGACATTAGCCTATACTATGTTTTTTCTGTTAAGTTCTTATTTCTTGCTACTCTCTCGTAATTTTAAAATGCATTTTGTTTACCGCCACTGCCTCTAGGAGGAATTTTTCCTAATAGTGGCAAAGTTTAGCCAATGTAAATGTTGCTCCCACATGTAATACAATCCGACTTGTTTAAACAGTCACGCAACGTGAAAGCTACCCTCCCCCCCACTGCCCCATAGGTTAGGGTGCATTAGCATCAAGACCAGGAGTTATAATCTACAACCATAGTCATTCACGGTTTAGACCGAAACTTGCTAATAGATGGAGATAAATGCCCTCAATACTCCATTATCTCTCACTCTTGTGCACTTCTAGCTAAACTCTAGATGCATTTTTTTTTTTTTTTTTTTAAAAGGGGCCACTTCATAAAAGACGATATCACTCATGTACAACTGCAATGTTTTTATCACGAATGTCTTTTATCTTGTTCCACTGCTATGAATCACCCGAATAAAATAAAGAATTAATTAAAAAAAAAAAAAAACTCCCTTAGAATAAAACGCTCTCTCTGATATTTTTCTACCAGGTTGTTCGAGCCAAGGAGCGGCTAGACCAGGAGTTACACATCCAGCAAAAGGAACAGCAAGCACAGGAAGAAAGCAAGCAGACGTGACCCCTGACCCAATCTTACTAAATTGTATAGTGCAGGCTCCATCTCCGCCCATAGAACGACAACCCCTATAATCCTGAGCCAGCCACTGACCGCTGCTGATCTACACCTCAATGAGAGATGGTTGTTGTAGTTTATTGGGCACTGGAGAAATGCAATTTGAATACACCTGGTTTACGCCAGACGCTAGCGACACATTACATAACAGCATAATCTCCTGATGGACCATGGGATCGGGAGGCCAATCCACCAATAAATGGAATTGTAATTTATAATTGTGCTAATAAAGCGATCTGGTTTAGTTTTCTTTATGAAATCATTTCAGTATTTTATGTTTTGTTTAAGCACCTAAGAGATGCTCTGATTTCTGCCATGCAGATTGTATAGAGCGGCCTGTCTTGGGTAATGCCAGTGCTATGTCTGTCCCAATCAAGTGTCTTGTAACGTGTAACAAGTGCAAATCTAAACTGCTGGATTGTGTAGGAAACTACTCGTACAGATATATAATCTATAACCACGGCACCTTGTAATAAAGACAAACTGCCCTTACCTGATGGCCCTGATTGCTGCTTCTGCTAAATTAATTGTAGTATTCTGTAACGGTCATTATATGTAGGAAATGCTGTACATGATGTCACTTATAGAGCAAGCGACAAATCCTAATGAGAGGCCTCTCTGAAGCAGGAAAGGAATTAGCATGGTGACCATGCTATAATGACCCACCTACATCATATAGGACCGGTTTTGGGCCCCAGTTATGATGTCCCTGTTCATGCTATAATGACCCGCTTTGGGCCCCAGTTATGATGTCCCTGTTTATGCCATAATGACCCGTTTTGGGCCCCAGTTATGATGTCCCTGTTTATGCTATAATGACCCGTTTTGGGCCCCAGTTATGATGTCCCTGTTTATGCCATAATGACCCGTTTTGGGCCCCAGTTATGATGTCCCTGTTTATGCTATAATGACCCGTTTTGGGCCCCAGTTATGATGTCCCTGTTTATGCCATAATGACCCGTTTTGGGCCCCAGTTATGATGTCCCTGTTTATGCTATAATGACCCGTTTTGGGCCCCAGTTATGATGTCCCTGTTTATGCCATAATGACCCGTTTTGGGCCCCACTTATGATGTCCCTGTTTATGCTATAATGACCCGTTTTGGGCCCTGTTTATGCCATAATGACCTGTTTTGGGCCCCAGTTATGATGTCCCTGTTTATGCTATAATGACCTGTTTTGGGCCCCAGCCTTGGCGTTAAGAACCCCTGTTGTAGAGGAGTCAAGCTGCTTCCCACATCACAACTGTAATATAACTCGGCAGCATTCTAGCAAGTTACAAAGCCATCTGTATGATCTGTAACCTTAAAATGGTTTGATTTCTTTTACATACTGTGGGTATATTGTTTTATAGTAACTTGGCACTTTCCTAATTTATAAATGTGGGTAAGGGGATTCAGAGTGGTTTTAGATAGAATAAGTTATTAACAATACATCTATTAGTAGAAAACACAAAACCTTATGGAATTTGCATTGTAATTAAATTCTGAATTGTTTTGGTTCTGGTTTAACAAAGAAAATGTTTCTATAGATTGACAGGGTTATTCAATAAGTGTGAATTTTCAAGGATTAACTTGTTAAAGGGACACTATAGGCACCCAGGCCACTTTAGCTCATTGAAGTGTTTACATTGCAGCTCTAAGTCTGCCCTCTGTGGCGGTCTACCATACAGCAACTGGGGCGCTTCCGGAATCCAAACTGACTTTTGGTTTGTTATCTGACGCTGGACGTCCCCACGGACATCCAGCGCCATACTTTACCCATAGGAAAGCATTGAATAATGCCATGGGGAGGTCTAATGTGCGCGCGGCCATTGCCACGCACGCGCATTAGGTCTACCCTGCTGATGTGGGCGGAGCCTGACCCAGTTCCGAGGGACATCGGCGCTGGATTCAGTGGCTGATAGGGTTTTAGCCCCCGTGAGGGAGGGAGGCACTGCAGGAGCCTATAGTGCCAGGAAACAGTTTGTTTTAATAGCACTATAGAATCCTTTTTAAATACTAGGCCAAAATGACTTGTTAACGCTGGTCGCGGTTAGTTCTGCATCTCATGCAGGTTTGTTTATTAAAGGAACTCTAAAGGGTTGGAAACCCAAAGCTGTATTATTATTGTCCCTGTCCCTATTTGTAGAGCCCCACCCCAGTAAACTTTAATAAAATAAAGCATTTTAATTACCATTTCCAGCAGAGCATTGCATCCATCGCCTCCTCCACAACGGTCCAATAGAATGATCCTCATAGAGCAGGATTGGGGACCTGATGTGATGCGTATGCATCCAAACTTCACCATAGGAAAGCACGGAATCAATGGTTCCTCTAGTAACAATCAGGAGAACAGCCAATAGTGGGTGGATTTACCCTACTGAATTTGTCAATACACACTTTAGTAAATAACTCTGTGGTCTAGCTAACTACTAGAGTAAAATACAAATGTTGGAGTTTCTGACCATAATGTTAAAACTATGATCTCTCTCCATATATTTAACTGATCATTACACATTTAGATCCAAAACACAGAAAGCCATGAGCAAATGCTCATCTTATCCCGAAATCTTACTAATACGTCACAGTGTAGCACAATGTCTCACTTTGGCCTTCGGTCTGGTTGACAATGGATAATGGGAATTATTTTCCATTAAAATAGTCTCCTGTGTTAGAGGTGCCCTAGAAAAGACGGGAGTTTATCCCTCAAGTGACAGAGGTATATTTATTTTTATGGTTTGTGCTAGAGGCTAACAGAGCAATGCATTTGGCATTGGAAAGATTACAGATGCTCTCCTGTTTTTAATTAAAAAACAATTTCCCCCTGAAAGTGTGTGCAAAAAAAACCAAAACGCTAAAAACAAGTAGGCATGTTTAAAACCAATGTGTTTTTTTTATTATTTTCATTTTATTAGGATTTGTCAGTCATATAAACACTCCCAGTTCAGGGAAGCGTCTTGTTGACAGCTGGGCCCCTTGGCCGCACACAGGACAATCTCCGCGCTCAAGGGGCGGTCTCGTCATGACGCAGTCACACAGCTTTCTTTCACTCACACGTACAGTCTGAAGCGGTAGCGATCGCCAACGTGGGAGTTAAAACGCGTTGGGGTGGGGGAACAAGGGGAGATTAGTTATGATACAGAAGGCACTTCACATGGGTTGCCTGTAGAACATCACCCTCCGTAAAGCAACAATCCACTTGACCCTCTTACTTCCCCAAATTGAAGATCTTCCTAAAATCTGGACTCTTTAACGGTTTTCTAATTATCCAGGGCCCATCGACACAATATATGGCGAACCCTAATGTAAAGGAAAAGAGAAATGACCACCCCACAAGAAAACCAAACTGCCACTATTCCCGTGAACAATTCTCTTATCCCGGGGGCGATTGGCCTACTCCTTTGTGCAGTAAGAAATGGTCACACACGGGGAGACCATGAACGTATACACCAGGTCAATTGTGAACAACCGCAGCTCATCAAACACACAGCCACTCACACCGTCTGTTACATAGCTTGCACTTCGCCATCGGAGCCAGCAGATAGCCTCCTTCTTGCATACGTGGTAAATGAGTGATATATAGGGGGTTTGATTGGTTTAAAAAAAAAAAAAAAAAAGCAACAATTCTGCATGCTCTCCGGAGAAGCGTTGGGAAGCAGCATTCGTTGCGGCAGAATGCTTTGTCGTGTTGGGTCCAGAGAACAAACAGGAGAGAGGGGAGCTGCTTCTGTAGGTCACGGCATGTCGTACTAAGTTCCATAAGGGACCAACATAAGTGCAGGTTTTAAGGCAATTTCTGCTTCTGAGACGCAGCTCTTCACACACACTCACCACTTTTACTGAATCGTATCTTCATATAAATGTAAAACACTGAGTTTCAATACACCCAATGAAAATCCGAGCAGCGACCTTCATTAGGAGACGGTCGTTATCACACAGTACCTAGGTCGGAAATCTTAGCTAGATATACCGTATCGGTGATGGCTAAACTGTGACACGCTAGCTGTTGTGGACTACGGCTCTCACAATGCTCTGACAGCCAATCTCAGCCGGCTGATGTCATGGAGGTCTTAGACCACAACAACCGGAGAGCCATAGGTATACTGAGTTTTAGGAGGATAGTGCAGGTATACGGTAAGTACTATACTGCCCACTGGACAGAACCAACTTACCAGGTCACCCAAAATCAAGCTGTGATTTTACTGGTTTTGAAAATCAAAGCTCTCGTTATTTTTAGTCCAAACAGAATCTGTCATTCCACAAAAACAGCCATAATATCCAAGTGGTAAATGTGCAACAAACGTGGTCCGTTTCGGAATGTTGACTGACATCATTGTCATAGAGAAACGTCGGAATTCAGAGAACAGAGAATATTAGAGAAAGAAAAAACAGTTTTGAAGATGCAGAGGAAACCTGATTGGTTAACAGGGAGAGAATGACATATGCATTGTAAGGAACACTCTTTAAGAGCTGAAAATTAAATACAAATAATGTGGAAAACAATATTGCATTAAATGAAAAAAAATGCTGCCCTTTCTCCCAATGACAGGAATGGCGTTATACAATATTTAGCTTAGGGAGTGAAAAGTCATTTGTTTTTAGACCAAATCAGCCAAAAGGAAAAATTCAGCTAGTTTGATCTACATATTGCAACACCCTATTCAACATACTCCAACATATTCACTCCAATTGTTTTTTTCGGGAGGCATTCTGGGAACATCTTATTGGCTGAAAACAATTCGCCCCCCTAGTTTTGACACATTAAGCAGAATAGGAATTATTTAATAAACAGCGAATTGAGAAAAAAAAAATGCTGTTACTATAGCTGAGCGGTATCATTTTTCTATAATTTCATTTTTAATTCACTACAGTGAATAAACTCCTTTAACTGAGAATAGACAGATATTTCTTGAAAACGCCACTCCGCTGGAGGTAAAAGCAGCAAGGTTTTTTAAATATTAAAAATAAATATGTGTGTATATATATATATAAAATAATTTACTAATTTAGTCTTATTTGAACAAGCATCACAAGTGTATATATAATGTGTGTTAGAATGTTTTTATAATGGTGAAATGTTCACCTGGGTTCCGTCAGTCTGGGAAAGCAATTCTACCCTCCGCTCCTTGAGGAAGACGTATGAACTGGAATTTCTATTCCCAATATAACATTTTAATGATTTAAAGAAACACTATAGGATCAGAAACACAAACATGTATTCCCGATCCTATAGTGTTAAAATTACAGTGTAGCACCCCTGACTCCCTAAATATAGTAAAATCGTATTCCTGTCGGCAGGTGCAGGCTCTGCCCTTGATCTGCCTCCTTGGCTGACATCTTAAGAAGTGCTGGTCTCAGCCATTCACAATGCTTTCCCATAGGAAAGCTTTGGATTGGCTGAGATTGCCAAAGAGGCTGGGTTGGGGTAAAGTCAAACTCTACCCTGGCCAATCAGCATCGCCTTATAGAGATGCATTGAATCAATGCATCTCTATGAGGAAAGCTCAGTGTCTCCATTCAGAGGGTGTAGACACTGAATGTCCGTCACACTGTGCAACACTGCCCCAGGAAGCACCTCTAGTAGCCATCTGAGGAATGGCCAGTGGAGTTATCCCTAGGCTGTAATGCAAACACTGCATTTTCTCTGAAAAGACAGTGTTTACTGCAAAACGCCTGA